GGGATGTCATGTTGAAGATGGAACAAGCTTGTTTTCTGCTGCTCCAGAAACTAGGACACAGAACAACTGATTCAAACTACAGGCAAAGAACTCTTCTAGAACATGGCCACACAGCCAAAAAACCCATGAAAAACTATGGATGCCGGTCATGAAAGCCTTCAACTTCACATACAGGAAAAGAGATTCCACCTAAACATTAGGAAGAACTTCCTGACAGTAAGGGCTGTTGGAAATTGGAGTACACTGCCTCAAAATGTGATGGAGTCTTCTTTGGAGGTTTTTAAACAGAAGCTGGATGGCCATCTGTTGGGAGTGCTTTGATTGGGGGTTGGATTAGATGGCTCTTGGGGTCTCTTCCAACTCTATAATTCTATGTACGAAAGCATGCAAAGCATTGCAGCAAGTTATTTGCCATCTCATCAGATAATGGTTATGGTGGTGATGGTGATGTAGATGTAATTGTATCCCCTGTAATAAATTGTGCCTCCCTTTTTTTCCCATCTTCAATCAAACCAATTAAATTAGGTCTCCATTTTCAGTGGGATGGGATAGCTATGAGAAATTGTTGTGAAGATAGTGAATTCTCTCCAACATTATTGACAAATATAATATCATTGATGAGTCTGACATTTGGATTCCAGTGGATGTGCCAACTTGGTGGATGTGCCAACTTGGAATCAAAATTTCCTGGAGAACATTTGAGAACTGTATGAAGTAAGCATAAAGTTGTTTGCTTTCTGAATTAATACTACTCAAGGCATATTTCTTCTGCCTGGGGCCCATTGCTCTCATTTCAACAAAGCTTATTGTGAGGAGTCTTATGAGCAATAATATTTTGAAACAACTTACATCAATTGCCCTGTTGCAGCCTAAGAATGCATAAACAAGGAAGGTCCTTGTGCAGACATCTGAAACACTGTCTACAGCATATCAGTGTGATTATTTCTCTGCTTCACCAGTCAGTTGACAGGAAATGTATTTGTTCAAGCAAGGTTAGTCAAAAGGTTTCTGGGCCAAACAAAAATGTACAGAGAATGTTCATTTCAAGTCCTTGGGCATATCTGTACACAACAGTTGTTGATATGCATCTCTGCTTGTCTCCAAAGCAATGCATGCATTTTGTTCACACAAGCTG